TGCATGAAGAGGATGATGTGGACAAAATACTCATTTACCTAATAATTCTGCACTCCCTGTATTTGTGTTTTGCAGACCTACTAATAAATAAATAAAGAAGCATCTGCTTTGAGCTACTTTTTCCCTATTCTTTGATAACAAATGACAGAAATTATGATTACATGAGATCAGGTGTTGCTTTATTAATACAAGCTTTTGATCAACAATCATAATTTAACCAACATGATGCAGAAGTGCATACAAATTCATGCTCTGACACAATAACAAGAGCTAGTGGAGACTGTTGGCTGCTGACAGCTTAGCCAAAGAGTTTTTCACTGTCATCAAAACATCAGCTAATTGCTATCAGAACAGGTCTGGTTCTAGTTCACCATTCACTCACTTGTGGAAGAGAGGGAGCCAGGTGTGCTCTCACACTGGGCTTTCTGTACAGCTGAATTTATTTAAAGAAAAGGCTTCATAATAGGACTGAAAAAGTCTCCATTAATCACCTGATTATAGAAAATAATAAACCAGCCTACTGGAAGAAGAAAAACTTTTCATGCTAAACTGTTTTTAATTTTAATATGTGTTTAAACCAGAAACATATATTGCACTGAACCAATGAAATCATTTAAATTTTGTGTTAGAAGAAAAGTTTGCCTCCTTCTGATGTCCAAGAAAAAATTCTAATTACTCTGCCTTCAGCAAAAACACTCCCTGTTTACAGATTCCATTCAGGCTTCTTTTAATTACTGCATTTATTCATACCTGCAGGGCATAGAGGGTCCAAGGGGGCCACCGGGAAGCAGAGGTCCACCAGGAGAAGGCATGCCTGGGCCCAAGGTTTGTACATATGCTCAAAATCTTAGTGGTAATAACAAGGGGTCAGGATTTCTATGTGGAGGCCACAGAGTTTATAGTTGGAACTGGATCATATGACCCTGAAACGTCACATAGTTAAGTGGTATAATGCTTAGCAATGATGACTTAAACTGCAGGATCTGGCAAGCTGATTAATGATTTGATAGCCAAGCAAGCAAGGCTGATGCTTTTAGTCACATTTATCTCTATTGTACGTGTTCTGCTCTCAGCACTGAAGACAGAAATTAAAGGTTAACCTACAATTGGAGCGATACTGTATATCCAAATAGATTATCAAGTGTACAACTGGGTGAGGATGTTAAATCAAAGTAAATTGAATGCTAAACTGACCAGGTACTCAGTCCGTCCTGTATTTTAAGCTGTTATGTAAACTTTCATTGCAAGTCTTCCTGGTGTCTCAGCATAAACGCTGGTGTGACCAGGCCTGTACAAAATAATGCCAGCAAGTATATTTTCTTAAAAAATACGTGGCTCTCTGGTAATAGTCCGCTTAGCAAATATTAACAATACTGGTGTAAGTGTTTTAGTAATTACGACAAGATGTGAAGATGTTATTGCCTAACACAGGGAGACCAAGGGTTTCCAGGTGAAATTGGTGCTCCAGGGGAGAGAGGGGCTGGAGACCCTGGAGCTAAGGTGAGTTGAAACCATTTGGTAAAAACCCACATCAGCAGCAGTTATCAGTATACATTATTTAAAGTATTAAACATTCCCTCCATAAACTCATACAGAGCCACCAATCTGTCCTCAGGGTGAACCAGGATCATCAGGAATGCCAGGTTTGCCTGGGCTTCCAGGGGAGGATGGAGCCCCTGGACAGAAGGTAGTTTGAAGATGTTTTAACCTGAGCAAACGCAAAATGCAGTTTTTAAATGATCATTTTATTTATTAAGGGAAAAAGCTATCCAAATCTATCTCGCTGTACATGGTAATTAAATTTTCTGTTGTATCAAAAAATCCCTTAAGTAAAACCTGTCTGATCAAGTGAAGTAGGCTAAAAGGTCTCAAGAACCAATGCAGCATCCCATGATATATAGAAATTTTCTAAAGATAGTTGACATCTATCAGTTTGGGAAGGATTATATATCCATTTCTAAGGCTTTAGGACTCAATCAAACCACATTGAGCTCCATTATGAACAATGGTGGTATGATTGTCTGGGGATTTGCTGTTTTAGGAGCTGGACAACTTGCCTTAATTGATGAAACCATGAATTCTGCTATCTGTGAGAAAATCCTGAAGAGAATGTCCAGCCATCAGTTCATATCCTGAAGCTCAAGCCCACTTGGCTTACTCTGAATCACTCAAAAACAACCAAATGAAGGTTTTGGGTTTTTGAAAAGTCTCCAATTAAAAAGTTTGTGCAAAGAGTGAGCCAAGATTCTTCTGCATTGATATGAAAGACTCTGAAGAACTGCAATTCAGCAACTGCCAGTTGCTGAATTGCAGTTCTTACTAACAAGGGTGTTACAACCAGGTTAGCAATATCGATTATTACATTTTGTTTGATGATGTAAAACATGTAAGTATGACAAATAGGCAAAACATTAAAAAAAACAAAAACAGGATGGGGCCAAATACTTGGATGCATGTGTGTCTTTAGGGCGAGCCCGGAGCTATTGGCCTAAGAGGGCCAGATGGCGCTCCTGGAATTGGTATCCAAGGTGAAAAGGTAAAAAAGTAATATTCCATATTTCATTTTACTGCAAGTCAGTAAGTAAGTCAGACCAGTGAGTATATTCCTGATGTGACCTTCAAGGGTGACCAAGGCCAAAGAGGAATCAGAGGCTTGACTGGGCCGCCAGGCATTGCTGGACCCTCAGGACCAAAGGTGAGCAATCATTAGGCCATCATTAACATTTACCTGGAAAGAGATAATGAGAAAATATCCTCTGTACGTTTTTGGTCTTAACCAGTTTTCATACAATAAACTTTGTCAGGGAGAACCAGGAGCGCAAGGCAGGCTGGGTTTGCCTGGTCCTCCAGGACGCTTCATCACTGGACCCAAGGTATAAGATTCAGTTTTACTGAGCCATCAGTGTAAGACTGCGGAGATTCGTCATGTTTTCTTCACATTTTCACAAAATATGTGGTAATTATTTTAGGTTGTTCCAAGACTCTTTGTAGAAAGAAACATTGATTCTCCTGATGCACGTAAACTTGTTGTTGCCATTATTGTTATTGTACTACATACATACTACATTATTGTAGAATCTCTGCTGTGATTTGGCACTATATAAATAAAACTGAATTGAATTGAATTAGTATGTTTTGTTCGTAGCATTAACCCATTATTAAACAATATTATCAGTGGTAGAAGTCTTTAATTTGCTTCTAAGTAGCAACAGCACAGTTGCACAATGTTCTACATTTTATATTGTATATACAGTGTCTATTAAAGTTAACCTTTTTATTTTAGATGTACAACATCCATGTTGCACATCTATGTACAACCTTTTGTACTAAGGGGCAGCTTTGTTACTAAAAATGTGTTGTAGGGTGATCCTGGTCCAAATGGCCCTCCTGGTCCAGTTGGGGAGACTGGCTATGGACTTCCTGGTCCTAAGGTAAAACTGATATTATTATTCTCTGGTTGAAAAAGAAATACACAGATAAATATGTATTGCATTTCTATTGGGTGCCTGCCTGTAGAAACAAGCATGAGTCAGATTTTCGAACAAACACATTTAAACATGTGCTGAGTGCGTCCAAATCTGGAAAAGAATCAATAATCAAACAAGTAATGAGGGGCAGATCAGGAAACACGTGTTTGTGCTTTCATCATCAAGGCCATTTACAGTCCATCTAGAAAGAACAGAGAATATGTCAAAAATTAGGATGGGAAGCACAGCTGTACATCCTGTCATGCTTTCCATACGCTAACATTTGCTGAAAATCTCAGCTAATAAAATGCTACAACCTGTTTTTATGTTTTGCTCAATACTTAACCCTCTCAGGCTCAAATTAAGTTTTTGTTGCTAATGCACAAAAGAATACCTGCAGTGGTACTTCTAAGTAAAAAAAAAAACCTCATAAAATATGTATGTGGGGTAATCAGGTTGTTAGCTTTTACTTGTTGCAAATCTGCAACGCCTGCCTTGAGAGGGTTAATATAAGGGACCAAGCAAAGGAGCATATGTGTCCATTTATGTGCATATTCCACTTTAGTTTGTTTTGCAAGTCTGTAAATCTCTTTGTATCCTTTGTATGAATGAATTATTGATTCCTATGTATCTGCCTCCTGTAGGGTGACCGAGGAGATCGAGGCCCTCCAGGCCCATTTGGTCCCAAAGGAGACGGCTATCCTGGCCCCATGGTGAGGAGCTGATTTAGACAATGACATATGTCTCCTCATAAATCTGTACAGCCATACCTTTCATCTGCATACTATGTCTAGTCCTCCATCCATCTAGCATTTGCCTCTCTTGTACTGCCGCTCAGTTCCAACCCTCTATCAATCAGTGAGACATTTATAACCCAACTTTACAGTAGGTGGCCCTTACACATATCCTGAGTATGTTTCCTTTAACTTAAACCAGAGGGAGATGAAATTAACATGACTTTCATTAAGGGCAGTAAGAATAAAGGTGGTGCCTTAAAAAAATAAGAAAAAAAATCACTTACTATATTTTACTTTCTCATTGAGGGT